AAAGAGCAAATTATCGAAGAACACATTCAGGAAATGCTGCACAACCAGATAATAACGCCCATAAATAGTGAGTACGCGAGTCCAGTCGTACTATGTAGGAAAAAGAATGATTTCCCTCCTTCGGATAAAAGGGCTTGGAGGTTTGCTATCGATTACAGAAAGCTTAATAGTATTACTAAGTTCCCGGTTTACCCTTTGCCGGTAATAGAGGAAATTATTAGAAAGATTAAGTCTACGAGATACATGACTACGTTGGACTTAACGTCTGGCTACTATCAAATAGCTATGAGACCTGAAGATATACATAAAACCGCGTTTATCACAAAATCGGGCAATGAAGAAGTTAAAATGTATTCGAATTATGATATTTTCCTTCCAGATGCGGAAAGAAGAGAAAAAGCTCATTGATGAAGACCAAAATCCGAAAGGATCTGTAAGAAGATATGGTAATTTACATCTACAGATAATTATAATTGTTTTAGGAAACAGTTTGTTTTATGTAAACGGAGCTCTTGAGTTTTAGGTCAGAATATGGAAACTTTTTCAACAGGTCGTTTCTAGGACCTGCTTCCAAGTTTACCATATTCTGGCAGCGGCAAATGCAGGGTTTATATTTATTTTAACTAACGTTTATTTTAAGTTTAAAATATCTTTCCTGTCAAGCCTTTACTTTCCCCTTAAATTGCCAATGCCAGAGTATGTAAATCGTAGTAGAACGCGCACAGTATTCAAATTTTGGCAGAAGTAAATTGAGTTAAATAGAAGGGAAACGAGATTGTAAGTGTGCTTCTTGAATCGCGAGCGTGAAGGTTGCTAGGTAGAAATTTTAAGAACCGCGCGTTTCGGCTTGTGTGCCTGTTTCGGCAGTTCGTTGAATCTTTCAACTTCTTAATCAGTAAGTTTGCTGAATCTCAGCTGTATCTTAGAACGCGGTTAAGTTAGTTACGATTATAGAGCCTCGTAGATAATTCATCCTGTCATTTATTTTTAGTTGTACTTTTCTATTTTGTTTAACCGCCGGGTCGGCGTAGTTTGTGAGCGTCAAGTGAACGCAACTGTGATTTCTAAAGTGAAATAAAAGGGATTTAAACCCTTCTTACGAGTTTGTATTATTTACAGTTCATAGCAGTCACTACTACTGTTGCTGACAAGTTGGGGCCACGCAACATTATAGGATTAAAAAAAAACAAAATTTAAGAGAACGATGCGCGTACCATTAAACTTAGCATAAGACTGACAAACAGAGTTCCAGAGTATAACAAATACATGCTACATAACTCCAGTCGCAGCAGAGCAAAGGATTTGGCGACAGACAGTCGCCCCTCTGTTCAACTCGACTTCTCTTTCCGACCTCCACCACAGTATATCTGTGATTGTCGACATACACCGGTGATGGTCCGAATGTACAAGAATATAACCAAATATTCGGTCTTTCCCCGACGTATTTGGTATGTGTTGACGTTCACCGGTGAATTTCGACATTCTCCAATTTCGGTCTTTCACAGAACATAATATAAAGGTATATAAATAAGCATTAAGGTTTTGAACTTCCATTTTCTATTTTATTAATGTATAGAAATAATTTCAACGTATAAATATGATTTTTAAATAGTTATAAGTAATAGTTCTTAGAAAAATGCATTTTATCTTAACTTTGACATTTTAAATGTATAAGAACTTCCCTTTTACATAGAAAAAACACTAAATAGTTAATAAAAATCCAAGAACTTCGATTAAAACATTTATAGGAATTTTGCCGCATATTGGGCTTAACAGCAGTAAGCAATTAAGCTTCTAGTGACATTTAGTACTATAGTGATGAGCCCGCATGCAAACTCCATTCTTCCTACTTCAGGGGCGAATTACTCTACAGTGATGAGCCCATCAAAGGCGGAATGGATAGCACAACTGAACACTGGTTGTTTGACAGGCGTTCCAGGTATTTACTTTTTACATTTTTAGATTACTCTCATTAAAGGACGATTGGAAAGAGACCCTAAGGACAAAATCCGAGTGCCAACGAATTATCGCCTACTACAATTTAGTCCTTAATTTTAGTTTCTATAGAAACCGTTAGGTTATTTTGAAGCGAAGAAACATAAAAAAATCAACTGTACCCTCGAAGGGATTCGAACCAGGGATCTTTGAACTTGTTAGCTGAATTTATAAGGTATTTTCTCCCTCCTTTCTGCATGCCTTCGTGGTGTAATGGTAGCACACTCGGCGCGGATTCGAGATGCCCAGGTTCAATTCCCGGCGAGGGCATTGTTAATTTTTCACGTCTCCAGCATCAACATAAACGGCGCCCGAACGATTGCATATTTTCCAAGATCGCAAATGTCGCTACAAATGTGCTAACCATTTACATCATGAAAGGACTCACGCGGAATGCGATAATTCCTTAAATTTCATTACTTCGTGTACAGTCAGTTATATTTATTTTCTGTAAGATAAATATTTCAAAATTTGTCATTTTCAGTAGTCACTTTAATATTTTCCAAGAAGAAGATACTTCATCCATATTTATGCACTGCAATATGCAAAAGCATATCGGTCATCGACCGTGATCTAATTACTAATTATCTAAACAATATTTATTGTTTTAAATAGTGCAGACAAAAAGAAGTTTAACTTTACGGAAAACGCAATAAAAGTTTCCTTATTCTTATCTCTTAGATAATTTTTCTCGAATTTCCTGCAAATGCACCATTTTTATTCTGGCGGAATTGGAAGTTTTCAATTCTAACAGTTTCGACGGCAGATGTTTAACTATAACGCCTGAGCGAAAGAACTTCCAAATTCTCAATACGAGCTCTTTTCGGAATGAATTGAAATTGTCTCTGAAAAATTGCTCACTATCCTAACTAGCAGCGGCTTTTAAAAGCAAACACAAACTATGTTTTAACACCATCTTTCAGAACTTTCAAACTGTCAGGAATTCTTAATGAAAGCCTTTTATCCGAAGCCTTTTTGAAGCCCATAGAATAGACAGTTCGCACAAATGGAAGTGTCTTTTCCAGTGAAATAAAGCGATTGCACGAGACGTAATGCTCATTCTGTTGATGATGGCGTAGGATATAGAGACAACAAGAGACATTTTGCGCGAGACAATATTAAAAGAGCCGAAAATAATTTAAAACGGAGCGTAATCTGAAGATTATTCCTGTCTCAGGGAGAATTTTAATATTTAGTTTCGGAACCATTTTATTCCGAAATTTATTATGAAGATTTGCTTATCGGAATACATCAAAGGTGTTTTATATGAAATAGAGTTAGCATCCTTGACGTTTCGTTCATTTCAATAATTTGATTAATTCAATAATATTAGTATTTCTTCGAGATTTCAATAATGCCAATAATGCAAAAGGCCCACCAAAGGCGGAATGGATAGCACAACTGAACACTGGTTGTTTGACAGGCGTTCCAGGTATTTACTTTTTACATTTTTAGATTACTCTCATTTATATGAAATCGTACATTTACATAAAAATATGCAAAACACAAATGTTTTTAAAACTTTACCTATACCGAACAAAGGGAAGAAATTTTATTTTTAACCGTCCCTTTTCTGTGCTTATTGAGACTAAATGGCAGTTGCGGAGTGGATTGGGTTATTTAAATTTCTTCAAAACACGTGAAAGCTATCTGCTAAACCTGTTGGTGGTCATAAACGAGCTCAGCTCGCAAGCAGATATCGCACGCATTTGGGTAAAAAGAATTACTTCATCTCGTACCCGCCGAAGGGTTAAGGATAGAAATGCTTTCACGGAGGAATTTCTAATATAAACTAGCTCGTATTAGAGTTACATATGTTTAAAACCACTAAAATTTCCATGCAGCCAGTCCGTTCGCGCAAATTTGAACCTAGATCGAATAACCACTACGCCTCTGGCTCCACTGCCCCCCCCCAGTATTAAGTGATTTAACCGTTATGCTTTTGGTGAAGATGGTAGCTGATGAATGTTACTAACTGCGTGTTTTAGGAAAGCATATTTATAAGCCCATAAGATATTTGAAAATATAAGTTAGTTGAAATAAGATAATTGAAAATATGCATATAAGATAATTGACAACTGATAATTTCTATTCGTTTTCTAATTCTGGCAACGGGGTAGTCGGGCTGCATGTTACTTCTCTCATGTATAATACGAATACAGGCTAGCTTTTTTTTCGGGGGGGGGTTCCTTCCCGAAGCTATCTCTCTTCTTAAGTAAACAGTAACCAATTCTTTGTCAAAATTGATTAACCAAAACCTGTGCAGTGTAAATGAGGTTACTGGAAAGCACAATCGGCTAGTCAACGGAAGGTCCAGATTTTGGATTCCAAGGAGGGTACGGCACATTTTTTTCACGTTTTTCAGTCCAAAATAAATTACTTTATGATCTTTGAAAACCTAAGTAACGTAAAATATTACGAAAACTATATGTGCATGATACGGTACACTTCACATACACGCTTGAGTAATGACCGTAGCGCGTACGTTAGAAGTTCTAAAAAATCAAAATAAGTTCGACTAGATGAAGTTACGAAGTAGTAAATGGTTATTCACAATCAGAACAGAAATAATGGGTTATTGTTCAGTAACTCATCTTGAACAGACCATTACATTTTTATAAAAGGAAATATAAAAAAATCAACCATGCAGTCACTGGGATTATTTCGATTGCTAACTGGACGTGTTAACCACTTAAACTACCAGAACGCACTGAATGACTATCTATGTTCAAAGTTCCCTTTGTAGAGACATTAGGATTTTTTTTTAATAACGGACACTTGAAAAAGTGCCCTCGTCGGGGCTGGAACTTGGACCTCTCGAATACGCGACTAGTGTGTTACATTTACACCATATAAGCATACAGAAAAGCGGGAGAAAATTTACCCTCCAGAAGAAAATTAATGAGAATGTTGGATGCGCTTTCGTGACACTTCATAATGATATCATAATTCACCAATGGAAGAATCATCTTCACAAAAATAATAGTTTATTCCAAGCCGAGGCGATGGCAATAAGTAAAGCAATAAAATACGTTAAAGAACATTGCAGACATAATATAACTATAAAATCTGACAGCCTCTCCACACTCTACGCAATTAAAGATCCGAAAACTACCTCATCTATTATTGCAGCAATTCAGAAAGATTTGCAACTTAATGTTTCATTCAAAATAACTCTAGAATGGATAAAAGGTCATTCCAGAATATACGGTAATGAAATAGTGAACCAACTAGCTAAAGAGGCTGCTATAGGCCAAGATGCAGAATTTATAGGTATCCCATGGCCAACTTCTCATCTAAAAAAGCATCTTATATCAGTTGCCATATCAAACTGGCAAGACGAATGGAATAACAGTGAAACGGGTAAAAGAACACATCAACACTTTGCCAGGGTAAACCCACAACGGCTAATTGCAAACCCACAATTAGTGCGCTTTGTTTCAGGTCACGGACCTTTGCCCAAATATTTCGAAAGGTTTGGTATTTCAAACACGAGTACCTGTATTTCTGGCCAGCTGGGAACACCTGAACATTACGTTACTAACTGCCTACTCACTAAAGATTTTCATATTAAAATGCCAACAACAAATATTCAAGCTTTTGGTAAATTCTTAGTGAAACAAAAATGCACAGTGAAAAAATCACAAAAGCAATGGACATCCTAACAAAATTGGGCACAGATTTATGTCAAGTAATATAATTTCATATAAAAAGTTATAATAAAGATGAATTTCATATAAAAAGTTATAATAAAGATGTAAGAGTATAATAAATAAAGAAGTAAAGTAATAAGTGCAATCTATAATAGAGTAAAGCAAATAACATCAGTGGTCATAATTTGAAAAAGTGATTAATTTCTAGCAAAAAGTATCTATCATACATATTATATTTAAAATGTGCATGCATTTAATATGTACATACATTCAAATTACGATAAATAAATACTGACTTTACATGATTATGAAGGCATGACGCATTGGTAGTTAAATTGTCATAAAGATATTATAAATTGAAAATCAAGTTACAAGAAAGCATACCCATGTCGATTCGGTGTGATCAAAGACAGATAGGATTCAGCGAAATGCAAAAGGAAGAGAAGAAAAACTTTGGAATTAAAAAGTAATATTCTGGAAGACATTAGCACAATATATAAGGTATTATATGAGGAATACAATAGAAACCTTGAAACTGAGAAACTTATAAAAGAACTCCAGCAAAATGAAAGAAATTCTGCAAGAGGACTTAGACAACATTCTAGTTAAAATGATACAAATAACAAAAGAGAAACTTCACGATAACGAAATAATATATAGACTGTTTAAAATAAAGAGAAATTAAAAAAGAAAGAAATTCATTAGAGAAAATTTTCCAATTAAAATTTTTGTAATAAATTATGATAATAAAGTGAATATACTTATTGTATACACTTTATTTGTAAATCAGCCACAATATACAATATATTTCAGCAATAGACAATATATGACAATATAGACAAGGGCGGACGTGGGTAGAACCGATTAACCGTAATGGTAGAGGGATGGTGCTCACGTCCTCCGTTACTACTACCCTCTAGAAGTTATGTATATAATTATTCGGCTTTATAGGAAAAGAGAAGCCTTTTCATAAGCCACTGACAAGTTTAAGTACTAATTTCCAAACTGACTCTTCTGTTAGCGGACTCGAAGAACTCACGAAATTTATTGTAGACAATAAATAGAAGAAATCCATTAATTTAAAAGCCTAATACAAATGTGTACTTATATACAAATGAAAGAAAATTTGTAAATTTCATTACATAAATTCATACTCTTTTCGGAGTAGTAAGAAAATAATACTATACAGTAAAAATCATCATAATAAAATAACACTGCAGAATAAATACGGGAGTAAAAATAAAAAGAAGTATGACATTTCTTGCGATATTTTCTTCAGGCATTGGTGCCATTTTTTTTTTTTTTTTTAGTTATTTAATGTAGTGCAACTCAAATGTTGTGCCGCTTCATACGGGTGTACCCGCGAAAAATTTAACCGTAAAGTCCTAATGGTATCGGAGGGCTAAGCGTGCTATAACAGTTCCCTTTTCGTTCCATTGCTCTTTTCCACCTATTCACGTGTGAAGGCGACAAGCCAGAATATTGCAGGCATTATTCCTTCTAGCTTTTGCGTCCACTCGTTACTCTGCTCCAGTTCCGACGCGTCTGTATTTGTGAAAGGACCAGTCGAGTGTTTCAATAGCGCATAATTTTAGTTGAGAATGCGTTCAATTAGTTGTTCTGCTAAACGATTGGTATAAAATATCTTAGAGAGAATGTTTTATTCCGTCTTTCTGTATTTTAATAAGTGGTAGTTTGTGGAGCATAAGTCGAATCGTTATTATTTGCTGATAAAGAAGTTTTTCCTGTTACCGCTGATATATCACACTCATTTTAGCTGAAGCTATACCGGTCGTACAAGAAAGAACTATCATCTTCGCATGATAATATAAGCATTACTGAGGCAGTGTATACGGCTAACCTTTTTTTCGTAACGCATGTTTTTTGGAAATGGAAAGGTTTCTGAAATATTTGTTGGACAATGGACGTTGAGAGTCTACTTACCGACATACTGCTTCTTACGACATATCGCTTACTAACAATAACCTTGATGAAAAAGGATCCGGAATAATGAGTGAATCAAGAGCGAATGGGGAGGATGGAGTTAAGAGGAGAAAGAATCGAACGAGCAATGGGATCGAGACGGTTTAGAGAGGTTGGAACGAATAGCGAGAGGAATCGAGGCCGCTTTAGAATCGGCAAAATCGACTCATTCAAATACAAGCTCTCTAGATGTCTTTGAGCTGTAGTTTAGAAATCCCAAGAAACCAGTTTTCTACAAAAAACTAACAATGAAAATTCTAGAATAAATTTTGTTTTTTAGAAATGATAAAAATTAAACTCACTCTTAACACGGGAGCATAAATATTCTTTTCTCCCCTAAAATGGGAAGTTATCATGTTAGCTTAAGAAGTAGTCGCCTTCTTCTCTCTTTTTTAAGGTAGGATTACATTCCTCCATAATGGTCTGATGGAAAAGCAAAAATTAAGATGCCATTTGAGGTGTGCGCGAATGGTTAGATTTTCGAAACTACAAATATTACTGTCAATCTAAATAGATCATTAGATTGATGAATGAGCACATTAGCAAACACTTCTTTTTAATTGGACAAAGGGTATATGCACAATAACGCGTCAAAAATAGCGCAATTTTGGTGACGTCAAAGAGCCTTGCTCATGAACGACCGCTTGTGAGTAGTAAATCTGATGGGCTCTCAACCAACAAAGTCACTGGAGGACTGTTTATTTATATAGCTAAAGCCTTCGACAGAGTTTGGCTGGAGGCACTCATCTACAAAATACACAAACTGGGATTCTCAGGTTACATCACTAACATCACAAAGTCCTACCTAACAGGTAGAAGTTTTGTCGTTCATGTCTCTGGTACCAATTCCACTAAACATCCCATTACGGCCGGGGTCCCCCAGGGGTCCCTTTTAGGGCCCAACTGCTTCAACATCTACGTGAACGACATCCCTACAACACACAACACAACACTAGCTATGTATGCAGACGGCACAGCAATCCTCACACAAAGTGCATTTACTGGTTCAGCTATCCAACATCTACAAAATTACATACATGTACTAGAGGCTTGGCTAGTAAAATGGAAAATTCAAGTCAACATCAGCAAGACGCAAGCCTTACTTTTCACCAGAAAGCAAAAGTTTAAAAAGAACCTTCTTTTTTTTATGGCAACTCAATTCCCTGGGCCAAGCAAGTCCCTAACCTAGGGGTGATCCTCAGTAAAACACTGTCATGGAACCCACACTTCACCGAAATTATTAAGAAGTTTCGAACACGTAAAGCTAGACTCTTCCCCTTAATTGCTCGAAACAGTGTTTTATCCATAGATAACAAGTTACTCATTTATAAATCCATTCTGCGTTCATTACTATGCTATGCATGCCCTGTATGGGCCTATTCATGTAACCGATATAGAGGCAAGCTGCAAGTTGCACAAAATTCAACTCTCAGACAGATTACAAATGCACAATGCTACATACGCAACGATACGATCCATGAGAAACTGGCTATTCGCCCCCTCAAATCCTTCTACTATAAAATTGCAAAAACATTTCACAACAAGCAGCTCACTGTCAGCAACCCTGCTATCAAAATTGCTACGTATGACCATTATGATTTAAACAATAATAGACCACTGGCCATTCTCAATGAACGGATTATGTAATTTCCATTTGTCTCACCTTTTCACTTCCTGCTACCTTTATAAAGCATAGCATAGTAATGAACACCTTATTTATGATCTGTATTATATTGTATCTTAAAATATTTATGAATATTTGCATTACCTTTTATAAATTTTTCATGCACTGAATTGTAATAACATATGTATATTGATTACCTTCTACCAGCATCCTCTCTGTTTGTTCTCTACTGATTAAGGGCACTTATATACTTTGCACTTGCTCTGACATACGTGACATCCTTTGTATTGAAAGATGGAGTACTTATCTGAATTGTGCATTATTTAATAACTACATTAAATACAATAATAAGATCTTTCAGCAAGTTAGAGGAATTCCTATGGGAGCAAACAGTTCTACACAAATTTGTAACCTATTTCTTTTTACATTTGAATATAAATTCCAACTCAGTTTAAATAAAAATGAATTAAAGCTATTTGCTCATACTTTTAGATACATAGATGATATTATAACTTTCAATAATAATTCTACTTTTGAGCAATTCAAAATTTACCCAAATAGTTTAACACTTAATAAAACGAATACGAATCAAGATACTATTGAATTCCTAGACCTGCAAATTATTAAACACAACAAAATTAAATTATTTGATAAAAGAAGGAATTTCCATTTTCCTACTATTAAACTAATTAATTGGAACTCTAATATCTCTAGAAAAGTAATAGAAAACACGTTTCATAGCCAAATTATCAGAATAAAAAATATATGTACTGAAATAGACGATTTAAAGGAAGAAATAATAAACTAATTAATGGTACAAGTTGATAACCAAGTACCACCAAAATTTATTAATTTATATATTAAAAAGGCAGGCCTTGACTTTACTTTATAATTTTTTGGCTCTTTTGGATATGATAACATTACCTTAAACCTTAACTGGAGGGTAATGAAGGATATAAAAGAGTAGAGAAAATTATTGTAAATTTTTATTGTAAATATTTTGTAAATATGTATATTTAATCAATACTGGATTCTTTCCTTTTACTAATAAAGGGCCAACTCTTTTCAAAAGTCTCAATTATAGCCCGAATTGAGTGAAGATTTTAATCTTCTTCTAATTTTCCATACTTTAGCCAGTATTTAGTTAAGTTTTGATATACCAATTGAAATCAAGTTCATTAAACTTTTAATATTTTCTTTCATCAAATTTAAGTTTTATTTAACTTCCTAAAGGAATTTTTGAGAAATTTCTGGGAATTTTTTAGAGGTTTTTTAAGGACTTCATTTCAAAAAATTTTGGGAAATTTTACTTTAAAACTTTAATATTAAAACATTTCAGTTTTTCTTAATTACTTTAATTTTTTGCAATTTTCACACAAAATATCTTTCACTTAATTTTTTTAAC